CAATGGGGAAAAAGTTCCGATACGTCATGCGACGTCGCGAGTTTGACATATCTGTTGTAAGTCAAGGACTCTCTTTAGTAGAAGATGGTAGCCTTTCTGGGAAAATATATCATACTTGCATCTTGGGATGCTCATCTCTTACTATAAACATTGTGCTCTGGCTAATATAAATTTCATTATGATTGTCAGAAATTACTCACGGTTTTCCACCAGGGATCCCAGCCAGATTAGGAGGGATTCCAGGTACTCTCATATGAGGGGGAGGATCAAACCCAACCTGATAAAATGAACAAAGAAATAGGCCAATCAGTTAGAAAAAGTACAAGACTACTGAACTTTGAACATAGTAGATTTCACAAAATACAGGTCTTCATAATAAATCCACCATTATAATATATACTTCCTGCCTCATCTTTAAATAGAGGGAGAAAGTCTGTTCATTTAAGGAAACAAATATTCAATACAGCGATGAGCTTTTTGTATGTTAACTAATGGTAACATTTTAAAAATGAAGGAACTGAGACCTTATTTTTCAAATAAGGGGAAATAATATTTTGTGTAGGAACATGTAACATAGTAGGGGACAAAAATCCCATCTCTAGAACTGCATTAAATATTCTTTAATGCTTATTAAAGACATGTGTTAATATTATATCCCCATTCAACAAGACTGCAAACCTACCATAGGGGAGCGTCCATAGGCAACTACTGCAGCTGCTGCTGCAGCAGCACTCATTTGGGGGGACATGTTGTGGAGACTAGCATAGGCAGCTCCTGGACTAGTCAGCTCTCCATTCATGCCAGCATGGGGTACCATTCCAAATGGAGCAGGGTAGGGACCTGGTACAGCCAGGGGTGTTCTCAAGCCAGCAGCTGCAGGAAAAGGAGACAATCTCTGTATATTACTTTATTCAGCTCATTTTTTTCCAGATTAATCTACCTGCACAGAAAAACTCTGCTTACACTATATGGGATTGCCATCCTGTATGAAGTAGAATAACTTCACAATCCAGGTTAAAGTTGAGTAACTCTGTTATTCAAAGTTTCATGAGTTTCCAAAGGTTAAAGGTTAAAGAAGTGGGGTGCCAACCATGAGCTTGGCCAACGTTTTTCAATCTAGCAACCTCTTGTTGAGAAATGCAGAGTGAGAAATTCAGCCCTTCCAAGATAACATCAACAAGCATTTTCTAACAGAAATGTCTCCACATTTGACCTCACAACCATCCTTTTTTTTAATTATTCCAATCACTTATATTTGCAGTTTGCTAGTATACAAGTGTACAAATGGCTATAATAAACTCATTTAGCCAGTCTGGAATCTGATAATTTTTAATATTATCACTATGTTTGTTATGTTAATAAATGTGGCCAAAATGCAAATGAAAAGTATTAGTCACCATGCACAATCCTCCTTTCCTTAAAACCCTTTTCTAGACTGCCTATACAGTTAGTCCTCCAATTACAACAGTAACAGGGATTGGAGTTTGTGCCACTAAGTGATGTGGCTGTAGCGTGATGTCTCATAGCTACATCGCTTAGTGATGGCAATCTCAGCACTCCACATTTCCATTGTTAACTGAATGCCACCATTCATTTGGCAAGGATCCAGCCCAATCTAAGCCATTTCTGGATTTGTCTCTCCCACTTCCCGAGCCTCACTAAGATAAGGGACTACCTCCTCTTCAACTCACCCCGCCCACCTATCTTCCCCTATCTATTCCCTTTTATGCCTCCCACATCTATGCTCCCTCACCAGTGGGGGAGGGGGAGGAGAGAATTATAATCCTCAAATACATCACAACCACATCAAATTATATTAGTAGTAATAATTCAGTGCATGTCAGAAGTTTTTTTTTTTTTTACCAGCTTGGTTGACCAAAGGGTCCATAGTTGGAGGTTTAGCAAGACCTGGACGAAGACCTGGTGTAGCACTAGTTCCTGGAGTTGGTACATCACTTCGTGGAGTTGGTGTGCTGGATTTAAGGACTGGTGTGCTAGCCTTTTCATGCTGGCATCATTAAACAAATCAAATAAGTACTGTTAGTAATCCAGGCAATTCTTGAGTATTCAATTTCAACACCATGTTGAATTTTGAAATTTTACAATTAAATTTCCTTGGGCAATCTCCTATAATTCAATATTAGTAGTGTCTGCCCTCTCTATTTCTGCTTAAAAAAAAGAATGATATGCAACATTCTTTAGTTGTATATATTATTGGCAAGATGTGAAACTTACTAGTTAATTGTAATTTTAAAGGCTTCAACTATTTTAATTCAAATATAGGACTTTGAAGGAGGTAAATGAAGAGTAAGTCAGATCACAAAGATATATTTTACAAACCAGTTGAAAAAAGAGACAAAAGGCAAATGTTGTGCTTCAACTAGAACTCAAAAAGGATGGTGATTTACTACAAAAGACTTGTTCTCTCTGCCATAAACTTCATGAGGAAGAAAGGATTCAAAAAAATTGTTCCAGATTAGAACAATAAATTATTCTCATGGCCTCATTAAGAATGGATACAGAGTGAGCAATTTTCATCCTTTTATTTTTATTTTAACAGATATACAACTAAGAAACTAGAGAAATGAACAAAAGAGAAATTAAAAACAGATTTACAACCTGTGTTAAATTGAATACTGTAAGTAGGTTCAATAGAATATTAGATTAACACTACATGTAAAATATGCTTTCATCATATTTGACTATTTTTAAAAGGAAATCAATAGTAACTAATTAACAAAGGCAACCATTATGATAAAAATGATTAGCCAGAATAAATGATTAACAGGGATTTCCAACTAATTTTAAACAGTTTACCTACACAAATGAAGGGAAATATATGTGTCCCAGGGTAATGATGAGAGATCGAATTTGGATTGGTCACCGAGCTTTCAGACTGGAGCTGAAAGCCGGAGCCCATCTTCAGTTTACCCTCATTATAATAAGTTTATACCCTCATTATAATAAGTTTCATTATAATAAGTTCATTATAATGATTAATATTTTAAAGAGAAATCCAAATTTATATGTCACACAAGTCCATGGTTAGAATTATACTCCATCAATGCTTTCAACATTAATTTAATTTCTCAATCAGACTTGAACAAAGTATTTTTTGACAGTATAGCATCCTTCTGTCTAGTTTGCAATTCTTCTAAGGAAAGAATTCCATGCAATTTCCAGTAAGACACATAAAGTATACTGACAGCTGATATAATTTATGAAGACAACTATCTATACTTTGTAGGAATACAAGACTTAGAAACATTAACAGAAAAATAGCTAGCAGAGGAGTTGAATTATAGGGTGAATTACAGGACAATATGAAACTGATAGATGCTAATGGGAGTCTACTTCTTCACCTGTTGTCCATTTTTTAAAGAGGGAAAATCTACTTTCTATTAACCGAACTTTAGAACAGAATGTCAAACAGCAACACACCAAAAAATGAATACATTTATAATTTTAGTAAAATGAACTCAGTTAAAATTACTTTAATTAAATGCACAATACAATTGTTCCATGTTATGCTTTTCTTCTATCAAAATTAAGCAACAACTTTTCATGCCACAACCAAAGCCAAATACAGATCACATATTTTAATCCACATTTGGGCTATGTTGTGTGGAATGTGAAAAAGCTGCAGAAACCCACAAAAGTCAAACTCAAATGAAATCACAACTGAAATCCCAACATTGGTTTTGTGATCAGATTTCATGATGTGGACAGTGCATCAAAAATGGAAAAAAGGGGAACATTGTCCAATAATTAATGAGGAGGTAGTTTTTCTATTAATAATGAACTGCTACTACAGTTTTGATCTGTCTCACTATGAAAACTATGGTTAAGTCATGAAGCTTACACACAATGCAATAGTAAATAATGATTAGTTGTCAAAATATAATACAACTGAGACGAATACTTACCAAACCTATTTCTTTGGATTTCATGGAAGCAGAACTTCCAGAAGAGGCAGTAGATGCTGGGCTACTTGAGGCATCTTTCTTCAAGATACGGGTTTTATCTATGCCATTCTCTCGTGGGGAATGAGCAGGACTTGCTCGGGGAGACGAAGGGTCCTTGATGGGCCAGGGTAGTAACAAAGACACACAGTAAGTTGTTATTAATTTACGTGCAGTAAATTTTTTACCCACAATTGAAAAGCTTTGACATTTGATGTATATTATGTTAAATACATGACTGTATTGTAATTTATTTTACACCACTTATAGGCATCTACCATGTGGAAAAATTATCTATGCTTTAAATGATGAACAGCACTATTTCAAACTATTAAGCACAACGTTTGGTGCATTTCAGATCAATTTCCCGGGAACAAAAGGAGGCAGTAAGCAGGATATATAATTTTACATATTACAGCCTCCTAAAAACACATAAGTAGTGTGAGGGGAAAAAAGTAAAAGTACTGTATTAAATTTAGCTTTCTACTGATTATAAATAAGCATGATTTTCTGCTTTCACATCACACCGAAAAGATCAGAATTGTTCTTTAAAGGGCTTCCTTTCCAGCATATTTCCTGCACACCATCCCCTCCTTTAATATATCCAGAATAAACATTGTTCATTTATCTATGATCATATGCACAGTAAGAACTTTAAATAAGCAAATAGCATCATTGTACCATTTGCAGAGCCACAAAAATACCAGTGATAATTTCTATGATATTTTTTTCCTTCCCGTGTGTTTAGTCTGCTCAGATCCACTCTCAAATCAATACTGACAGAATAAACACAGAGATCAAGGACTCCTAAGCATCCATAAGCCATGGGACAGATGCATTGGTTTCTAGAGTCTATAATAAATATGAATTTAATAATATTGTAACTCCTCCCAACAGTTTAGCTTCTGCAATGAAAAAATATTACTAATAGCATGCTTATTTGTTAAATTTATATGTCACCCATTTTACCATCAGGTGTGACTCTAAGCAGCTTACAACACAATAAAAACAATGTAAAACACTAAAGTACTAAAATGTTAAATATTAACATTAAAATTAACAAAGATGCATATTTCTAACAAGAGATATTCACCCTATAGTCTAAAATATTTATATTCCTTTCAGCTTCAGCTACAGTAAAAGAAACACTAAGCAAGTTACCTCGTTAGATACATCCACAACTAAGTTGTCATCACTTTTGTCTCCATCACTGTCCTAAATTTAAAAACAATGCTTAGTTCAGTTAGTGTTTTGGACTTTAATAGTCTACTCACTGTAACCAACAACAAAACAAAAATAAAGGGTACCCACTCATAACTCCTTTAACATACTACCTTTAACAGAGTATATGTAAGTGGGTACCCATGGCAGAATTTCACCAACATTTGGATTGACTGAATGACAAATTGCAGGTGAGGAGGTTCTTCATGTCTGGGACCTGTCAGAACAGCACCATCCAAAAATAGCCAAACTGATAGGTCATAGGTGCAGAGAAGGCATACAATATATAGTGAGAGAAAGCCCTCCTGGGTAGTGGCCCATCTGCCCGGCTTGCATATTCGCACTCCTTTTTACTCTGTTTCTTGCCGTCTCACATACTCATTCTACCAGTTTCATGTTCACGTGCCCTTTATTGCTCTCTCTCACACAAACTTGTTTGCTTACATAGCTCAAGATAGTTCTAGACTTACTTTTTGAATACAAGTCTAGTGTGTTTTTAAAGAGTGCTAAACCTGCATATACAAGGAATATATATAAATGTAAGATCTACCAAGGAGCTATCAGATAATGTATGTTAATATGATTCTGTGACAGGAAGGTCCAGTCTTTCCTGTAGACCAAGCCCAAATCTTACAGAGAATAGTGCTCAGCCACTACAGAGGGGGACATGTCCACTGCAGCCTAAAATGGCTGATAGGAACTGGGCAGAATTTAGTCTCTGACCATATCACCAACCTATTATTAAAACATCCTAAATTGTGTCCATAGTGTTAGGAAGAAGGTATTGCTTCAAAATGGAACATCTAATGTTGACTCATGGGCTGAGAATGAGATAAAGGTAATGTCATGAGGCATTTAAAAATGGGCATGTTTGTGCTGCTATTAAAGGAACATAAGGATCAATACTGAAGATATTTTCCAGTATTATTATATTCCCTCCTTGTTCTCAGCAGGAATACCTACTATTTCGGGATATTTAAATTAAAAACTAAGATTTTAAAACATAATGCCATACATACAAATATATGTAACTCCAAATGCTAGTTTGGCAATGATGTTCCTATTAGATGATTTATAAATAACTGTTTCTATTCTGCTATCAGCAGATGGCAAATTAATTAACACATAAATACCGTATCTTTCATCACCCTCTCCCCATTCCTCAGCTTCTTGTGAAAAAAAAACAAACAGCTAGGAAATCAGCAGCTATGTTAAATTGGTAATAAGATGATGAATAATCTTATAAGCAAGATCATGCATGGAAGAGAAAGATTAAATATATAGCAACCCAAAGGAAGTGCCTTGAAAGGGATGATGACTATTGTCAAACTGGCTACAGTTTCTTACATAATGGCTTGAGTCCTTATCATCCACTTTTCTTTTCTTCATGTCATTGGAATACTCAGGTCCATTCCTTCGTTTATCAGTGTTCCTCAGACTCTCCGGGACCAAGAGTGAATTACTCTGCAAATACATAAAGATCATCATGTTTAGAATCCTTTTATATGGATATTTCCAACAAACACAAGTTGTTGGTTTTTTTTATTCACAACACAAATGCTAAAAACAGACTGCAAGTGTTGTTTTGCAAGAAACTTGTTTCAGACCCGCTACATCAGTGGTTCTCAACCTTTTTAATGCCGCGACCCCAACCGGTCGTAAGTCAAGGACTAAACCGGTCGTAAGTCGAGGACTAAACCAGTCGTAAGTCGAGGACTAAACCAGTCGTAAGTCGAGGACTACCTAACCAGTCGTAAGCCGAGGACTTTCCCTGCCCGGGAGCGCCGCACATGCGTGGTTCCGCCCCCTGCGCCGGCCGAGGCGTAGCTGGCAAGCGGCAGAGATGGAGCAGGCCGACCACCAGCTGGCCCAGCCCAAGGGAGGTAAGGCACCCGCCGGAAAAGGGGAAAAAAATGGCGGACAAAAAATGGCGGACAGCCTTGCTTGGCGACCCCCATGAAATGGTCAATCGACCCCAAATGGGGTCCCGACCCACAGGTTGAGAACCACTGCGCTACATAAAGGATTCTACCTAAGGCAATCTACTCTAGACAGTTTTCTTCCTATGGCTTCTATGGAACAAAGTAATGGTGGGAACAAGGCCATTTGTTCATGAAAACATTGATCTCTTTCTATATGAAAACTATTGAAAATATAGTTTAGCTTTTATCTTCTTTTACTGATTATTAACATGCTTTGGGTGGGTGGGTAGGTGTATCTTTGGGTCAGTGTTGAATCCTGACAACTACAAGCACAAGTCCTTGCCATTTTTTCCTGGTGGTTTGGCATTGTTTGCTTTCTAGGGCCTGAGACAGAATGACTGGTCCAAAGTTACCCAGCTGCTTTTATGGCAAAAGTGGGACTAAAAATCATCCTGGTTTCTAGACCTGTGCCTCAACCATTACACCAAATTGACTCTCCATTAATAATATTCATTTTAAACGTAAAGTAAAGGGAGAAAAGACTTTGAAGGCCTTCCCTTTCAGCTACATAAGCATGCTGTCCTCCAGCCTATGCATCATCAGAAAATGCCCTCTCAATATAAACATATTTTTTTAAAAAAATATGGCTAGGCAGAACCTCTTGTCAGCAGAACAGAAACTCTGTAGCGCATTCACAGGGGACAGAATAAATCAACTTTTTGTGTATGACAGGATTATGTTACTCACAAGGGAACACCAATTTTAAATTCCTCAGCCAGCCCCAGGAATTCTGGGAGATGAAGTCCACAAGTCTTAAAGTTGCCAAGTTTGAAGGCCCCCAATCCACAGGAATATCTACAGTACTGGAGCCCAAAGTGGCTAAGAGACCTGGGCAGATCCTAGTTCCTGTTCCCATCACCACCATTGTCAATGAAACACTCCAGATTATGTCCACAATGAAAAAAATATCCATGTTGGGAAAATATATTTTTGAAACTCAAACCGCTCCAAGTAACTTGGAAGCTATGTCCATTGTAGCTTGGGCTGAGGGAAAAGCATTGTCTTTTATATTTAGATAATTTAGATAAAATATTAGTGGGCCACATTAGTGCAACAATGTGAGGGAAATGATTTCTGAAGTCCTGCGTTTTATATCATTGTATTTGTCTGTTTAGGAATCTGTTGAACTACTGGAGTGGTTTGGGATCAATAAATAGGGTTGCCAGGTGTCCACTATTTGAGTGGACAGTCCACTTTTTCACATTATTTTCACTATTTTTTTTCACAAAATAGTGGACATTTTTTTTATTCAAAAGCTTTATGATGAAATGGTACGTAATCTAAAGCTGTACAGTCTACTTTTTTTACTACTTAAGCCCCCCCCCCCCCGCTTGTCCGCTATTTTTTGGAAGCAGACCTGGCAACCCTATCAATAAAAGTTTAATTTGTTTGAATTTCTTATTATTTAAGAGTGACATTTCTTAGTGTCAGAAATTGCCCAGTATGTTGGATTGTAAGAAAATAAACAGAAGTGTTCATTTGCATGTATTTAACTAGAATATCTGGGGTTTGTTGGTTTCTCCTAATTTACTGCTAATGCCTTCCCCCCCTTAAATTCCAACATCCAACTCTTAATCTGAAAGAAAGGCCAAAAAACAAGAGCAAGGACTAATCTTGTCCGCAATCTGCAGGCTACTTTCTTTAGATAATGTTAAGTACAAACTGTTGACCCAAAGGGGAAGAAAGGCATTTTAGATATTTCTGGGTCACATGATAATTTGACATGCCTCCAATTCTCATCTTCCCTCCAGCTAAAGCATTAAACATGTCACAATGGGTTCTTTTAGGTTCAGGATTAGCATATGCAAGAAGGGCAATTTGTTCAGTGGTGTGTTAATGCCATGAACAGTGCTGAATGCAGGGCTGGGGGTAGGGTAGAGTGGAAGATAGCTCTTTTCACAAAGGCCTGACAAACCTTTCTAAAAGCCGCTTGCATAAGGAAGCATCATGCCAACAACACACTTTCTGAAATTTACACAAAAATCGCAACATGCCTCACCACCGTACTCCAGGGAATACATTTGTATACATTCAAGTACTTAAGAAGCAAAATCAAAAGCAGAATTCAGCTAAAGAGCTGGCCTCCCCAGTCAAAACATGAGGGTCAACTATGTTAAAGAATTATGGACATCTTAGCTGTATCCTATAATAAATGAAATCATGGATCCATACTGCCCAAAGTAATGTGAGGCATTTATTATGGCACCATGTATTACATTCTGAAGGCAAACTGCAAACTCTTTTATTTCTGCTTCCTCAACCTCAAGCCGCATGTATGGCTTTTTCAAAGTATAAGGGAGGGCCTTCTGAAAGTAGCTGAAAAGCAGCACATCTCTTTAGTACAATGTTTCTTGATTGAAAAGGTGGGTTTGCTGGGTCACTGAACTCATTAATCTGAGATGTGAGTTTGGATTCCACCCCTTTTAAATCTCTTGATGGACTAAGACAAATCAAAAGCAGCAGGGGAAAAATGAGAACAAATACTATTTCAGATTTGAAAATGGTTTTCAGTACTAACATAAACATACGAATACGTTACAGGAAGTTTGCAGTATATGAAAAAGGGTTTGAGTGGTCATATTGCACTAACCTATAAATTAACTTCGTTGGGTTTAGTAGGATGTGCTAACTGGGTTGCTGTAGCTTATTCTACAAACCGTGTTTTGTTTTGTTTTAAAAAAAGAAGCCTTGCTTTGCATGTATGCATATTCAGCCAGTATTATAATTCTGGCAGAAAGATAAAACCTAAGAACAGTTAAGATGTAAAAATATTTTGGTATTGTTGCAGTAAACTGTATCAGAAATATAAATAATCATGAAGTATATCAACTGTGTATCTGGGAAGAGGGATGTTTTTATTAATTTTAATTGCTTTAATTCATTTATATTTATTTGTATCCCATTTTTATTATTTTTACAAATAATTCAAGGCAGCAAACATATCCAACATACCTTCCTATTTTCCCCAGAACTCACAGCCTCCAGCTTTCTAGTCTGGTGCCTTAACCACTAGACCAAACTGCTTCTATATACAAATAACAACAGAATAATTGCTATATATTCATGGTATTAGCCTTGATATAGTTGTTTCATTATGGCAGGCAAAAAATGTGGATTGGTTTGTCAAGGCATTGTATGAATTTAGATCACCCATATGCTTGGATACTGTTCATTGCCATTTTAGAAGAGTTATCCTATGCACAATCTGGAATTTAGAAAAATATCCCTCTAAGCTACAGACTTGGGTTTCTGTGACCTACTGGGACAAGTCTAATGTTGTTGAGCCTGGGATCCTTATGCAATGAATTAAGTTAAACTTTGGGTAAGTAAATGGAAATGTCAATTATTGACTATTGACAACAGGACCATAGTTAATGACATGTATGCTCTTTTCTGACCAGAATCATTAGTACGTTTTATCAGCATCAAGAAAAGTCAAATCTTCTTCCATCTCTAGGGTTGAAAGCTCTTGAGCATTTTAGAACTTTTTAGAAATGTTTGTATTATTTCCAACTAACGAAATCTTGGAAAGAAAGTGTTTAACAATGTCACTTTCTATCTGTCAAAGACTAACTCTTCAAAAGGCAAAGTGAATGGAACCAAATCTGCTTCAATGGGAAAAGCCAGCAAAAGAAAGATGATGTTCAAAAATGGCCCATATAAGGCCAGAGATTGCCTCAATGATCCATGGGGAGAGGCAGTTGGGCTACTGCTCAGAACTTTAAGCCTCTATTCCTCTTCTGTCCAGTATGGAACATATGCAATCTGTCCTGTATTTTTCAGTGTATGCATGCGCAAGCATAGCAATACAGCAAAAGGGAGAGCAGAATAATTACATAGGGATTTGTTTGCTATTTGTTTATTTATTCACACCGATATTTAAGTGATGTCTGGTTCCAAAGAAACTCTGAGTGGCGCACAATAGAATAAGGAACAAAAATACAATGCAAAGCATCAGATTGTATCTGATGGCTCTGTATAATGACAGAGAAAAACACAATAAGGAGGAACATCCAATCTGGGAGAGCAGCCAGGTCTTTAAAGCTTTCCAGAATACCATCAAGATGGGAACCATATGGATTTCTGGGAGCATCTTGGTCCAGAAGGAAGGTGCAGAAATTTTCAGTAGACTAGACCAGAAACCAACTCCATAGGGAAGTTAAAACTATTTCTATGGTGTTTGTAGTAACAGAATCTCATAAGACCGATTGTACTGTACCTCTTTCCCTTCTTATAGTCTGGTGAATTAGGAAGGTGTCTGTCTGAGCTTCTTCCCTGTATTTTCTGCTTTTTGTGATTTAATATGTATTTCTTTCGCTTGTTGCTTTGGTAATGGATCTTGCCTGTGTCTGTTAAGGTCTTCTTCCTTACTCTTTATGACATACTTCCTGAGTCCTGATAAATGGCAGTTAATTTGAAGTAAACCTGGAATGTGCCAATTCTGCCAGCATATACCATCCTGGCAGAAACCATGGGAGACAT